TGCTTCTGGCACATTACAAAGAAGCACACGTCTTCAGAGCTCGCTCAAATCAACTCCCTCGAACTGAGGGGAGGAAAGTAACTGACCATTCTGCTAAGAGTAGTTAGCTAATGCAGCAATGCAAAGAGCTAAGCCCTTCCATGACATAAAATTTGAAAATGAGAAGGCGTCATCTGCAAATTCATATAAAAAAGCCTGCAATCAAATTTGTCAAAACTTCGTTCTTGAGATTCTAGGAAAAAGGGTTTTATGGATACCTGATGCAATTGGAGGATCCATCTCTATCACTTCCTTTTTCAGAAAATATAAGTCCTAATGCTCTATTTTTAGCCTCCTAGGTCTAAGTCAAGGAGAATCTTCTCTCTCACATTGTCTCTATTCTATGGTAGGGTGCACCAGGCCCATGCTATTGCATAATGCAACTATGACACCTGAGGACCCAATTATCGAGCTCCATCCAGTGAAAAAGTCTATTAACAAGTAATTTTAATTTAATTTTCTATGATGTACAAGTAAATCTAATTGCACAATAAAATAATAATAGTAATAATTCCATAATCAACACAATTTCAAATCAATTAAACCTTTGTTTTTTTACAAAGCAACATAAATTTGATTTCTGCATTATTAATAATTACCTATTTGTCTTTTAAAAAAAATGTGTTGTTTTTATAGGGAAAAAAAAAAGAAATAATATTAAAAGGGAACCAAGGGGAATGCCAACAATGAACAGAAGGTGACATTTACAGACAGAAAAGACAAAAAAGATTACAATAGCCCTGAGGACATCTCACTTCCTACTGATCCATCTCCATGGACTATGACCAACAGCAACCCAATGAACTTTAGAGTGCCACCAACTCAACTTCAGGCCGAACTTGGCTCTAAGAAAAAATATGTTATTATTATCATTTCCTAAAAAGTTAAGGGACAAAATAGAATAAAATTTAAAAGAAAAGAACTTGATCAAGGAAGGTGAGTCTGCATGTAAAGGAGGGGAGCTCCTGCCTGAACAACAAGCAAGGTGGAGCTGTTAAGGGAAGAGAGGGGAGCCATGAAGAGAGAGAGAGAGAGAGAGAGAGAGAGACATACCTTTTTACATTGAAAATTGTGGAGAATGAAAGTAAGAATTTTTTTGAATAATAGAACCTAATATATACAAGTTTATATGAACAAGCAAAAGAAACAAATTTAATTACAAAGAGAAATGGTATATTATTAACATTCCTTTTTACCCTGCTCAATATACAAACTACACTTCCAGCACTCTGCTCAAAATGATGAATAGATACTATTCATTTCCAGTTTGACAATAATAGTTTGAAACTCAAGATTACTCAACTGCAAATTGGAAAGCAGTGGGTATGTATGGTGTACATATCAAACCATTATCTAGTTTTTCTTTGATAAAGTGCCGGTCAACTTCAATATGCTTCGTCGTTTTATAGTGTATCGAATTGTGAGCAATATTAATTGTTGACTTATTATCGCAATAGAGCTTTATAGGTCAATACCATTGAATCTTTAAGTTTTCTAAAATCATCTTCATTATAGGAGCTCACACACCCATTGAGTCATAACCCCGAAATTTATAGTGTATCGAATTGTGAGCAATATTAATTGTTGACTTATTATTGCAATAGAGTTTTATAGGTCAATACCATTGAATCTTTAAGTCTTCTAAAATCATCTTTATTATAGGAGCTCACACACCCATTAAGTCATAACCCCGAAATTTGATTCTGCACCGAACGGGATTACTATATTCTGTTTCTTACTTCTCCAAGTAACTAGGTTTCCTCCAAGAAAGGTACAATAACCAGACTTAGGTCTTTTGTCTGCTAATGAACCTGCATAGTCCACATCAGTATATGCTTCAAAGAGCAGCTCATTATTTTTCTTGAACATAATTGTTTTTCTTGGAATACCCTTCAAGTAGTGGAGTACCTGTAGGCAGCTTGTAAATGCGTTTCTTTGAGCTTGTAGAGAATTGGCTCACTACACTTACTACATATGTAATATCTGGCCACTACACTTGCTATCCTTAAAGTATTTCGATCTTTCCAATTCTTTAATCTCAAACTCTCTAGCTAGGCATTGCTTGAGAGTCATCTTCTCTCCTTTATCATTCCCTATAACAATTGTATTATCTACACATATCAGTAGGGTTATGACTCCCTCTAACTTTGAGTGCATGATGAAAAATGTATGATCTCCTCACTCTATCTGTAGGCAATAGATAGCAATAGCATCACTCTGGCAAATCTCCCAAACCACGTCAGGGAATTGTTTAAGCCCATACATTGTTTTTTTAGTTTGCATACCTTATTCTTTTCTTTGGATCTAGGGAAATTCCCATACAAATTTCTTCTTCCAATTCCTTCTGTAGGAAAATATTTTTCACATCAAACTGTTACAATTGTTAATTGAAATTAGCAGCCAAAGATAGTACGATATTTACCGTATTCATCTTTATAACAGTTGCAAAAATCTCTTGGTAGTCAATCTCATAGATTTGGATATACCCTTTAGCCACCAATCTTGTCTTGTGTCTTTCAACTATTCTTCGGCCTATCGGCCTTTTTCTTTAGGCATATCCACTACTTTCCAAGTTTCATTCTTTTCAAGTGTCTGCTTTCAACATTTATAGTATTTTTCCATTCCTCACTAATTAAAGTCTCATGTAATGTGTTCGAAATTAATACTACATTTAGCCTCATAAGGAACTTCGTGAATTGGATAACATTTTCCAAAAGAAACAAAATTAGAAATTAGATAGAATGGATGCTTAGTGCATTCTCTAGTTACTTTTCTAAGTGCAATAAGTATATCAACATTAGAAAAAGAGTGATTCTCAAAGCTTACATCATTTCCTGTACCCGACTCGGATTCTTAAACCTACTTAAGGTCATGTCAAAGTTTTCCTTCTTGAAGACACTATGATAAAGCGTGGATCTTGTATGATTTGAGGTTCAGGCTCATCTTGTGAAGCTTGAGGTTTGGGCTCATTTTTTGGCACAAGGGTATAGGTATAGTGTTTAAGAGTAAGGGAGAAATGTCAAAAAACGAGTCCCCCCTTATATTTCAATATAGTCTCTCCCTGAAGATAAAGTTGGTCAAAGAATGATTTGGTCTCAATGAAAGAAACATCAGCAGATACATTTTTTTTTTTTTTGGTGGATTAGTGGTAAGAACTTGTATCATTTTTGTGTTGGTAAGTATTTCAAAAAAACACACTTGATGGCCCTAGGGTCGAGTTTCCCTCTTTGAATTTAATGTATGTGAAGATAGATTATTCATTTTTGCAACAAGTGCAAAGATCTCTTGATAATCAATACCATATATCTGTGTATATCCCTTGTCTACCAATCTACCTTTGTACTTTTCTATCGTGCGATTGGCTTTATACTTTATGGTGAACACTCATCTGCATCTCACTGGTCGTTTCCTTTAAGAACATCGACCATCTCTGACATTTAATTTTGTTCAAATGCCTGCATTTCAAAACTCTTAATATTTTTTTCATTTTTTATAGGATAATGTCTCAGATAATAAATTAAAGATAAACTAAGTATCCAAACTCAGGAGAAACTTTATACGAGATAGTGAACATTTATTAAATGACACAAATAGTGAGATTTGAGTAAAGATGATGTTTAGTACATTTTCTGGTGCATTTATGAATTACAATAGGCACATTAATATCATAATGCACAGAGTTTTCAAGAGTTACTTCATTTCCAAATTTTGATTTTGATACCTGAACTTACTTCAACTCAGGCTCCAGATTCTTCCTCCTTGAATACACCTAAGTAAATCTTAGGTCATTTATGGTTTCTGAAGTTGGGTTACTTTTTAGGTTTAGAGGCACTTGGGGTAGTCATTTATGGTCTCTGGAGTTGAGTTATTCTCTAGGTTTTGGGGGTTGGTAATTTCCTAGTGATGGTGTAAGTGGAGGTTTTGTAGGGAAAAAGGTGATATCAAAAGAGAAGTCATTATCCTTATCTTCCAATAAGGCTCCCCCTGAAGAGAAGGATAAGAGAAGTAAGACTCAATTTCAACAAATGTAACATTCATAGACCCATAAAATTTTTTTAGCACTTGTTCTCCTTTTGAGAAGAAGATTATCCCACAAACATGCACTTTAGGAGCTCTAGAATCAAGTTTCCCTCTTTGTTGTGAATGTATATGAACAAAGGCAACATACACGAATATTCTAAGAACCAAAATATTTACAACACTGACTTTCGGGTAAAATGTTGATGGTAATTGGCCAATAAAGTAGGTAGCAGCAAGAATTGCTTCCCAAAATACTGTTTAGGAAAGTTGCTTCGAAATAAGAAACTCGGGTGGTCTCTCCGTCACTCTGTTTGTTGTAGATTGGACACACAAAAACTCATGGATAATCCTTTTTTGGTAAAGAAGAGATATAGTGTGTGATTCAAATATTGTCAATGCATAATTTTTTAATGGGGATCCCAAAAAAAATTTCTATCACATTATAAAATTGAGGTAGTATATGACTCACATTGGATTTTAAGTTACACAAAAATAGTCAATTGGCTGTTGTATAATCATCAATAAAGGAAACAAATCATCGAGTCTCAAAAATATTAGATGTGTACGATGAACCCCAAATGTCACTATGGAGTAATGAAAAAGGAATTGAACTCCTTTTGTTACTTATAAGAAATGGCACATGCTTATTTTTAGGAAGCTCACGTATATTACAGTACAAATTTTTACTCTTGGGTTCTTAAATAAAGAGGGAAACATCACTCAAGAGAAATAAATGAATGGTGTCAAGTCTTTTATGATGGAGCCAAATCTTATCAGTAATGGTTGAAGAGATGGAGAAAAGAGATAGTCCAGGTATATCCAAGAAATACAATCTGTTCCTAACTTTAGCATGCCCAATCATCTTTCCTGAGTTCCTAAAAGTCATAGTGAGATGAGAAAAATAATATTTTGCAATCCAAATCTTGTGATAACTTAGTCATTGATATTAGATTAGTGCATGTTTTTGGAACATGAAGCACATTTTTAAGTATCAAATTGGGACTAATCTTGATATTACTCTTTCTTGCAATGATGTTTAAGAAACCATCAGCAATATCACTGTGACTTTTACTATTTGGACAGAATGTACGTGTTAAAATATTGAGAGAAGTTGGTCATATGATCAATTGTTTCTGAGTCTATGATTTATGAGTGTTCAAACTGTTTATCTTAGGCATTCAAACCATGTGAAAAGGGAAACTTACATGAATGTGCCAATAAATCGGTACCCGTAGAATTTTCTAGAGAATCAAGATGAGCTCCTAGTGTTTCAATTTCCTCTTTAAACTTTTGTATTCTGAATCTTTTTCTTCTACATTGATTTGTAAAGTGGGTCTATCCCTGGACTTAGAATACTCTGCATCCCCACTGATGTGATTTCTTCCTTCAAAACTTTTGCTGGTGGAGTGATTAAGAGGCAAACAAACCCTGAAAAATTAGTGGCAAAGGCCGGTCATGGCTGAAGAGGCGCGCAAAGACTGTGCCTGGCTAAGGCAGGTGCACGCAGGGGCTGTGTGGGCCGTCTGGGCGCAACTGGACGGCAGTTAATTGGAGCAGCAATAGGGGCAAAATAGAGTTGAGCAGTAGCTGACTGGAGCAGAAACAGAAGGGAAACAGAGGAGAGCAGCAGCTGGCCGGAGCGGAAACAGGGGCAAAACAGAGCAGCGGCTGGCTGGAGCAAAAATAAAGGCAAAACAAAGCAGCGGCTGAAGCAGGGTAATGGAAACAGAGGTGGCTGCAACAGGGGCGAGACACGCATGGAACATAGCACACTGAAACAGAACACACCGTAACAGAGCGCCAAAAACAGAAGCGGCCGGTGGCTGTTTGCAGCTGAAACAGAGCAGTTACAGCTGAAAACTGCGGCTATTTTTATTCCGGCAATGAAGACCAGTTTAGGGTTTTTTGTGTTTTCTTATTTCCATAATAGAGGCCGATTAGGTTTTGTGAAAAACTAGAATATTTTTTCCTATAACTCTGATGCAATGTGAGAGAATAGAATGAATGTTATAAATAGAAAATGGCCCTATATATACATTATTCTTAGTACAGGAAAGGAAATCCTAATATTAACTACATGAATTTTGTATTATTATATCCTTATATATTAAATTACACATACACACTACTTCTAACAGCGATGCATGTTACGGAAAGGACTTACATATAAATAAGACACCATCCAGCGACAAGAGAAAAAGTATCACTACTCCACAAACAAGCACATTAAATAAACATAAGATCTTGTTAGGAACACAATAGAAAATTGAGACCACACAGATACTTACCGTTTCCACTTACAATACCCCAAAATTTGTCACTACTCCTATGAACATGCTTTGTGAACTCCCTTGCTCCATGTGTCAAGCTTGCACCTTTGACCTAAACCAAGAAAAACAAAAATAATGCCAAATAAAACCTTCAGAGTGGAATATAAGAACAAAACACTGATCATTAGGAGTAGGAATTTAATTCAAACCTTGAATCCTATGTATATCTAACATTTGAAATATGCTTATTGTTAGAAAAGAGACTTGGAACGTATTTATTTCTTTTCCTGATGAGACCCTAACTCTAGAATACATCAAAACAATGAGATGAAGGATAGGTTCCTAACTCCAAATTGGCCCAAACTAGAAATGACCCAAATCTTGATATGACATGGAAATAAATTAATCAAGACCCTGGTATGATCTGAGTAGTTATGGATTAAACCCAAACATCAGTTGAGACCCTTAGTTGACCCAAAAAATTCGAAGAATCAAGGTAGAATGACGAGTTACCTAGGACTTAACCTTGAAGTAAACTGGGTCATCTGACCAAAAAAAAAATAAGGAGAAAAAACTCAAAATATTAAAGAGCATAAAGGGGTGCAACCTGTACACAAAAACATTTACAACTCTAACAAAATGTTTGTAAGGTTCCAAGATCTTCACCTTAATTCAATGGTTGATCCCTAATACAAAAAAAAAATTACAGTCTAGAACCACGAATCTTTAGATCTATCAAATTTATATTCTCTGCCCTCAAAAGTCCTCTTGTTTATCTCTTTCAGAATAGCCCAAAATGTAGCCGAGGAGAAGCCTGATAAAGTGATTATCACTTTGTTTGCTCATCCACGCCCAAATCTTCTTTCTCACTAAGCCTACAAAAACCCAACTCCACCCTAATAAGCCATATGACAAAGATCAGAGCTGGTGCGCAGATGGGCACCAAAGCAGGATGTGATTGCACAGCTGGTGCGCAGATGGGCACCAAAGCAGGATGTGATTGCACAACATATTTCCAAAATGCCCAAACACTGAAATATGCAATGACTTGACGAGATGCCACCTCTGCAACCAGGGGAAGAACTAAAATGTTTGGAAATGAAAAAAGATGAAAACAACTCCACCATGCATAAATTATAAGTATCTTACATTTGCTTTATATGGCAAAGTGAATGATGAGAGAAGAGTAGATCTTGGTGGGGGAAGAGCATCGAACACTGTTCCAGCAGTATGTGCAACACCCAGAAGGCTTTGTATACCTGCATAACTCAATCCCTGGATATAAAAAATAAAAATAAAGATGTTAAAATAAACACAAAGTAAATTAGATGAGAAAAGATTGTCAGGATGTTGCACATTTTAGCTGAAAATATTGGCAGACATATGGTAAAGCAACCAGATAGTGCAGAAGGGCTTACGCACTTGTGCACATACTGAATATAGGAGTACCAATATTGACAATAGTAAGAAAATAAAATACTTTCTTTTTAA